TTTCATTGGCTTTCAATTTAGGCCTTAATTTAATGGACTTTAATTTCTAAGGCCTAAGTCTAATTGAGCCTAAACGGATTAAAATTGATTAAACTGAGCTCAATTAGGCCCTCCTCCAATTCTTAAAATTTCGGCCAAGCATGTGTACATTGGGCTGGCCGAATTTCCTCCAATTATTGGCTCAATTAATGATAAGCTCGATCCCTTTAGGATTTATTCTGGTTAAATCCAAAGCTTTTAACTTTATAGTTTAAATCCAACTTAATTAAAGCTCAATATCCCTTATTTCTAGGCTTGTAACTTCAGCCACTTCTTCCTTTAGCCTAGCCGGATTTTTGTTTAAGTGTTAGCCCCAACCCACACGACTAATTTAGGTCCATTCACCATCGCCGGTCCGATGCAGATGCATTAATAGACTAAACTATATGATGAATGCTCCTAAAAACTATATGCTATGCAATTTAATTATAATATTTTTGTTTAAGGACTAAAAATTAGTCCCTAATTTTCTATGCAATTAGTTCTTAAATGGTTAATCAAAATTTAGGTGTCAATAATGCCACGTATGCTATGCCACGTCATCATGTTTGCCACGTCATCGCTATGTCATCATCCACACCATGTCATCAAAACATGTCATATTTGTCATATCATTTAGTGATCACATGTTAAGTCCACTTAGTTAAAATTGCATGCCTTGTTAGAATACTGTTAATTTATTCGCTTGTTATCAGAATTAAGTCATAATTTAGATCTAAGTTTGTATTACATGTATTGCATATAGCTTAACCTTCGTTTTAAGATAAATTGGAAAACCGAAAAATTGATTAATTGACTTGATGTGTTTGAATTTTGTTTTCTAGCAATTTATTTAAATGATTTGGTTTATTTAGTGTTATTTTAATTATTTAAGCACCCACATGATCACCCCTCACATGTTAGTGGCCAGGCTTAAAATCAATCCAAGTTGATTGCAAAATATTTTTTCGAAAATAAAAGAGAAAATGTATTGAAATGGTATTAGATTTATCTAGTGTAATCAAGTCCTCGTATCCATGATCTCTAGTTCATAGAAATAAAAAAATTTCCCACACTTTACATAGGTGTCTAATCAACCTGCCAATAACCGATTAGTGTTGACTCCTAAGTAAATTGATTTGCATGTTTAGTAAAATCCAAAAGTTGCGAATTGACATAGGCTTGAGAGAGCCCGAGTTAAGTGCAAATTTAGTAATTCATTAGATTTCCGCTGGATAATTCACTGAGGGAAGGTCGCGACAAGGTGTATGCATTTACTTTTATTCAAAAAAAAATATTAATCTAAAATACTTCTTAAAATGTGAAGAGAAGCATCTAGTGAAATGTATTTTTCGGAAGAGAGGTGTCTAGTTGTGCAAATATTAACAACATGCTATTTCAAAAACACATACCATCTAAACTTTTCATGCAATAATAAAGTAGATAATACCTTGATTGTCAGAGCTATTTCTGTTGGACCGGAGGAATAACAAATTTGAGAGTGGCAGAACAAACATATTGTTTAAAAAATAAATATAATCTAAAACTACCATTTAACGTGATAAAATGTCCGTTTAAAGTTTAAACACGTTATTTTGGATAGAGTTGCCAGTTCAATTGATTCACTATTCAAGACACGGGCGTTATTTCAATGAAATAAGCTGACCTTTAGCTATTGTGCTTCAACTTTCAACTAAACATTAAGTGGTAGGGTTTTTATCTCAATGAGTGGAGGAATACTAGAAATCACGGCAAAGAGACTTCTTAAAGAGTGTAATATAAGATATTATCACAAAAAAGAGAAGATACGTGTCTTGTCTTAATGTAATGTCTTCAAGAGAAGAATATCATACAAATATATAAAAGATGTAAAAAGATTAATTGTTAAATATTTGGCAATAAATTCATCTTCTATTATTCTGTATTATTTTTCATTGCAAAAAATGGTTGATTAGTAAAATATGAAATTGAAAGACCAAGTTTTAGAAGAATAACGATAAGAAAAATATGTAGGTGGAGAAAGGAAAATTAAATGATACCTAGGATCCGTTTGTTTCACATAAAATAAATGATTTGCAAAATATGTTCTAAAGAATAATCACTTATATCTCTTGAAATAATTAGGCAATAAAAATTATTTTCATTATCGACAACAGTTTATGTCAAAACATTTTCATTGATGATGAAAGTATTTTTTGTTCTTCATTTTTGCAAGTAATACGAGCAATCATTTTTAGGAAATATTTTCCAAATCATTCATTCCATGAAACAAACACACCCTTAAGCTCTCTTTATTTTGCAGAAAATAAATTATTTAGAAAATATTTTTCTGATAATGATCGCTTGTATCGCTCACAAAAATTAACAAATGAAAAATATTTTCATCATTCATGAAAATATTTAGATAAATTGTTATCGATAATGAAAATATTTTCCATTGATTAATTACTTCAAACAATAAAAATGATAATTTTTAAGAAAATATTTTTCAAATAATTTATTTTTCGCAAAATAGACAAAGCCTTAATAAATGGTTCTCTTCTTTTCTCTCTCGTCTTGTGACACCTCTATTTTTTCTTTTTTTATTCTTCTGCACATGGCTCACGTAACCTTTGCCCCATGATAAGGACGAATGATCCAGCAAAACAAGTCAGAAAAAGCTCGATGAAGATTACCAATTTTCACCGCAAGAATCAGAAGTTTGCACCAGATAAAACCACTAGGGAATCAGAAAGTTCAATTATTTCTTTTGTTTGGGTTTAAATAATGTCGAATTAGCTCTGTTGTGATTGGTGGTAACTGAAAAAATCATTCACGTTCGAAAAAGGACTGATGGAATGCCAAGTGAGTATCTTTAGGGCCTAATAGTTAATAAACTGCGAAAACGAAAAGACTAATGATAGTATCTACTTGATAAAAAAAATTATTTTTTTTTTTTGATGACCCAGGGAACCCCCGCACGGCCGACAGCCGGGAGGTAAATCCTAGGGGCGACACGTGCTAGCCACCACACACGTGCACCGATTAAGTCACCCTGCGGCACCCGGGATTCGAACACTCAACGTTTTGCGAAAGGAAAAGTGCGCGCTCCAGCGGCGCCACCCAGGCGGGTGGTTGATAAAAAAAAAAATTTGTTGATTCCTTCATTATTGGTAAAATGATCACCCAATTAAACCAATTCCTCTATTTTTTATTTTCCATTAGTGCACACTACCTTTGTTGACACTTGAATTGTTGGCCGATAAATCATACATGTATTCTTGTAAATAAAATTGAAAAAGAAATTAAGAATTAGATAATAGAAAAAAAAAGATAATAAAAATTTGAATAAACACCGAATAGAAAGGCCGATTCTAGTAGATTAGGGAAGAAGAGAGGTCAAACGCACGAAAAGAAAAACGTAGGCGTCCAGAGAAAAGAAATGGAAATAATAAGAAAACATATGATAAAAGAAAAAAAAGTATATAAAGATAATAACGAGAGAGAGGAAGAAAAGAATAAAAAGGCTGAATTAGGGTTGAGTGAGAATTGGGCTGAATCTTGTTCTAGTAAAGTTGGGCATGATCTGGTTTTAGGGAGCTTGGGCATGGCTTAGTTTCGGTGGGTTTGGGCAGAGTTAGACTTTGGTGGTTTGAGTTTAAGTCCATTGAAAAGGCTTGTAATGAAAAGCCTATTGTGTGCATGGCCCAGATCCACAAAGCCCTAGTTTAGTCCATGTTCGGACTTCCGTGTCCCTTTTGATTAAAAATAAAAATAAAAAATAAAAAATCGAAAAAACAAAATTTTGAAAAAGATCATAAAAATAGGCCTTGATTAGATTGTTAGATGTTAGTATTAGATTTAGTTTAGTGTCATTTAGTTAATATTCATATACTTTAGGGAATTTCATGGTATTCACTAAGTTCAGTTTGGACTTAGATAGATTAGCCTTTTTAAAAAAATTGAATTTGATTCAATTTTTTTAGCTCATGGGATTGCTGTGTTGGGGCTTAATAACTAGATTGTGTGATATTCTTTGTCCGACATTTTGTAGGATTATCTTATTGCACTTTATCTTTTACTCGCCTTTTATTACTACTCTTGATGCGCTTGTGATTTCACTTATATTGATTTTTGTGTTGAGATTTGTTTTTCTTAGTTGGAAGGTTAGGTTACACATTAGGATTATATATATAAGCATTGCATGGACACTCACCGAACGAGAATTTTAGGACTCATAATTGGATAAAGGCCGCATGAGACACTTAGCTAATAACCCATCAAGTTAGATACCGAAAGCACATTAACACCAAGTTTCGAATCTAGATTTCTGATTACGTATAAAGTGAGATATTCTCCAAATTTTACTTGGTTTCTAGCCGACCAAAGATAAATCAACTAAAATGAATATGCCAACATCGTCCTAGATAAAGGTTTGGGAGAATTTACGCCGGTTGCAGATAGTTGATCCCCAACTCAGCGTAATCTCTATGTATCCATAAAAAATTTAAAAATTTGAAACTCATGACGCTTTCACTTTAGGGGAACCATACCTCATGGTATGTTGATTGGACAGCGAAAAAGCACACGTGCTTGGCAGTTGATTGTGTTGAACATGCTGTACAATTCATTCTGCTGCACTGTCCGCCCATGCTCACATGCCTCGGCCATCTCTTCTCCCTTTGCTAGCGTCCAAAGTAAAAAATCTCTCTTTCTCTATCCATGGGCACTTCCCATGTGCCGCCTCACCGCACTATCCTTCCCCTTCTCCTCTTGATTCTTTTATTTGATTTTTGTTTTTATTCAAAGTAGAAGAACTCCTGATTGGCCTTTATAGTCTCCCGAGGAGTCTTTAAAAATTTCCAAACTTGTCAAAAAGTCTGGGACACCTCACCGTTGTCTACTTGCTAATGCAGAACGTTAGGTGGAAAATAGACAACTCCCTTTTACTTTAAAGTGAGCCGGCCAAGCTTTTTAAGTATTGGCTCTCCCTGCCTCGTTCATATCCAAAACCTCAGCTCATTTCTTAGCTAGGCCACGCAACATCAACCTTTTTTCTCTTTAGGTGAGAGACAAATCTGGAAGTAGTAAGCTTCCTACCTATGGCAAACTCAGAGGCCGGAACGAGTAGTGATGCTGCACGAGCATCAAGAGATGAGTACCAAGTGTTTTTGAGTTTTAGAAGATCCGATACTCGTCATGGATTCACAGACTTCCTTTACCACAACTTGGTAGATGCCGGAGTCTGTGTATTCAAGGACGATGATGAACTTCGCATTGGCAAGGTGATTAGTGAGAATCTTCTACATGCTATCAACAACTCCATACTCTATATACCCATATTCTCTCGGACTTATGTTTTCAGTAAATTGTGCCTCCAAGAGCTTTCACTCATAGTAGAAAATGTCTCTAAGTCGGAGGACCAAAAAATTATCATTCCCATTTTTCTTGATGTGGAACCTGAGGATGTCAAACTTAAGACTCCACTTTATAGCATTGCCTTCGAGAAACACAAGGAGGACTTTCCTGAGGAAGTCGAAGCGTGGAGAAAGGCTCTCTCAGAAGTCGATGAAATCAAGGGATGGAACGTGAAAAAGGACCAAAGGTAATACTCATTTAAGATCCCTACCTATTTCTTCTTTTTTCTGTTTGGGATGCAGCGTTGCCCTGTGATATGATTTCTTTTTTTTTTTTAACGGAAAATGTAGAAAACAACCGGCAATTGCTTCTCTGATTCAACTTTACGTCCTCTGCTTTTAACTTCTTCCCTAAAATTTTCCCCTGCGATGTCAATAACTTCAATTTGATCTTCATTCTCACTTATCAAAATAAACAATCAGCATCTTGTGACGGAAATTTCAACCCAAAAATTCAGTTTGCCCATGTGATAAGAGTATCAGTTTCCATTTTCCATTTATGGGGAAAAGACGAAAAACATCATAGAGGTGCCGACTTTATTTTATATACATTTGTGAGTTCTCCTCAAGAAACACCAATTACACAAGGAAACTAGGATTCTGGGAAGAAAAATCATGTGTGATGCGTGGGTAAGAAATTAATCTAGTCAACTAATGAGAGCGCTTTTGTACATGGCAGCCCAGGAGCGATTGTCAAATTAGTTGTTGAAAAGGTTTTGGAGAAGCTGGAGATAAAACGAAAATCAGTGACTGACCATTTACTTGGACTTGATAATCGGGTAAAACACTTGATGGAGTTATTAGATGTTGACCATCGGGATGTGCGGCTCATTGGAATTTATGGAAAGGGTGGTATCGGTAAAACATCTGTTGCCAAGGTTATTTTCAATCAACTATCTTCCCACTTTGGAAAGTGTTGTAGCTTTATTGAGAACGTTCGAGAAAGCTCGTTGACCATGGAGGGCTTAGTCCAGTTGCAAAGGAAATTTCTATCTGACATTGCTGGTTTTGGATCTGCCGAACGACTAATGGATAGTGAACAAACAATGAGTAGGATTGAAGACACACTCAGCACTAAGAAGGTCCTTGTAGTTATGGATGATGTTGATAAAAAAGAACACATTAAGAAACTAATAGGAGGTTATTCATTACATTCAGGATCTAGGATAATCATTACAGCGAGAAACAAGATTGCTATGAATGTTAAGGGACTTAAAGAAGAAATTCTGTGGTATGAGATGCCAAAGATGGATGATGGTCCTGCACTTCGGCTTTTTTGTCGGCATGCCTTTGGTAGAGAATTTCCGTCAGATGATTATCATGGGCTTTCAAGTAAAATTGTCTCAAGTACAAGAGGGCTTCCTTTGTCGATAGAAGTAATAGGTTCGTTACTTAATGGGAAAGACGAAGCATTTTGGAAAAAAACACTGGTCAGGTTAAGGGAAGTACCTAAAGAAGACATTCTAGAGATGTTGAGGATTAGCTATGATAGCCTAGACAAATATCAGCAACAAATTTTTCTCGATATAGCATGCTTCTTTTTCAATGAAAATAAGACCGATGCAATTTACATGTGGGCCGAGTGTCAATTTTATCCCATGAGAGGACTTAAAGTCCTTACTGATAGGTGCTTGATAAAGACATTGGATAGTGATAGGATCTGGATGCATGATCAATTAATAGACTTGGGAAGGCGTATTGTTCGTCAAGAAAGTCCATTCAATCCAGGAAAGTGCAGTAGGTTGTGGAATGCAAAAGAGGCCCTTGAAATCATAAGAACCAAAAAGGTAAGTAAGAAATGTCCCATTTTCAAATAGAAGTTGTACATCATAGAATTAAAATTCCCTTTATGTTTAGATCTTTATCAATTTTTCCTCCCATTCAAGTTGTAAAACATAATAGTTGGAAATTTACAAACTTCTTCCTATCATTTTAAAAATTTCACTTGCAGAGGAAGGACAAGGTTCAAGCACTTAAGATAATTAGATTTGGTGACTCCATAGAGATTACAGATGAAGACTTTGAAAGGTTACAAAACCTAAGATTCCTCGAGCTAAACTGGGGAACTTATGCTGGGGACTTTGCAAGATGTCATTCAAATTTGAGATGGTTTTCTTGGCATTCTCCTCGGGACTTTAGGGCAGACAATATGTACTTGGACCGTCTTGTTGTTTGTAAACTTGACACTATTGACTTCAAGGACGACTCGAAAGCATGGGACTTAATCAAGGTAAATTACATGTTTTGATTTTAGTCTAACAGTTCCCGTGTGTACTATGCAATGGTTCTTACACCTAAAATGCCATCCATTTTCACAGAGGGCACAAACTTTGAAAGTTCTATCTATTACTCGGTGTTCTGGCCTAACGACAATCCCAGACTTCTCCAATTGCTCACGTTTAGAAAGGTTGACTCTTGCGGACTGCTTCAGTCTAGAGAGAATTGAGAGCTTCATTGGGGATATAGGGTCGTTGATTGAGTTAAAGATCGAAGAGTGTAGGGGTCTCATAGATTTGCCTGAAGAACTTGGGGCACTGGTGAAGCTTAGGCACTTCTCGTTGTTGGGATGTAGAGGGTTGAGAGAACTTCCAGGCTCACTTGGAAATTTAACCTCATTGACAAAGTTGGACTTATCAGGTACGAGCATTGCCAAACTTCCAAACTCCATTGGAAAGTTGGAATTATCAGGTACAAGCATTGCCAAACCTCCTGGAATGCCTTTGTTGAGTTATGGACAGGAGATTCCTCTGGATACATCAAACTTTGAATCCAAGTCAGACAAGGTGCGGCATATTCTTCATCAATATTCATCAATATACAGTAGACGTACATGAATTGATTTGTTTTAGTTTCAGTTTGATGCTATAATTCGGTTAAACATCACAAATTGTAAAAAGTTAAACAGTACTCTGAAATTTACATGCACAAAAATATATTTTTTCAATCCAACAACGAAAAACTATCAGAGACATCTTTAAATGATTTCAAATACATGAGTGTTCTTCTGACATATTCTTTGTAATTTGAAATGTTGTTTTGTATAAATTAAGTAAAAACACATATAGAAGTATTATAAACTGTAATTTTTAAGTTTATTTTTTGTTATATAACCGAGTGTTGGACATTATGTAATATTATATGTGCTTATTTTGATGTCACAATGTTTAGCAATAATTGCCCTCTTGAACTTTGATACTGTTACACAATAGTCCGCAAACTTTGAAAAATTATAGATTACCAACAACCCCCCCCCCCCCCCAAAAAAAAAAAATCTTTGATTTACTGTTGCATCCATTAATTTTTCAGTCTGCATAGTCATTGAGTGTTACTTAAAATGGACTGCCTAACTTTTCTTGATCGAATTTTCTCAACTAGTTTTATCAACCATGCATCATTTTGTATTTTCTTAACTTCATAAACCATGGAATAAATGTTACTGTGCTTTAAATGAGTTAGTGCATTTTCAGTTAACATGTCACGGTCATACAAACGGAAAAAGTAATGGCTGAAACAAAATTGAAAGTTTGGAAAGTAATCTATAATTTTTCAAAGTTTGTGTGGTACTGTGCAGCAGTGCCAAAGTTTAGGAGGTTAATATGATATTTTCAAAGTGCGGAGCAATTATGCATATACCGAGTTTCTTTGGTTCAGAACTTTCATTAAATATCATTACCCATGACTTTCAGTAATGTATGACCTGATATATTCTGTTAAGCATTCCAAAGCCTTCAAAGGGCGAGAAATAGTTACTTAAGTCCCTTACAAAAAATAAAAAGAAAATTCAATAATGAACCGTTAAAATGTATGTGGAATACGGATTCTTGTATTTTGTTAGTATCTAAATAAAAAAAACGTAAAATGAACATGGGTGGAATATGAATATGCTTGTGCGAGTAAAGGAAGAAATAAAATTTAGAAGAAAGCCTTGCATGTTAGAGGAAGCAAGCTTTGCTTCCTTCTTTTGGCCAAATATCCCCCTTTCTTTAGCCACCCGATATCCAACCAAAAGAAAAGAAACCAATATTTTTTGTTGCACAGTAATTACTTTACTCTCTCTCGCTCACTCTCTCACTTTACTGACAAAGACTGGCGGCGGGGAAAAGGCAACATTATGGGGGAGGAGCAAAGAATCTTGCAACCAGGAAATGGAAAAGGTGAGTTATTGATTAGTTGAGCCGATAGTGAGCCGATTCTCTTGTTAGTCATTTTATTTCCTCATGTTAATGAGCCATAGTCAATCTCCATATGGAGTGGTTTCAGGTGAAATTCGGATTCCTTCCAACCGAGGAAGAACTTGTTAATAACTACTTGATGAGCAAGGTACTTGGACACACCGATGGTGGCGTCATCCCCGAGCTCGAGGATTTCTATGCACAAGATCCTTGGGATTTACCTAGATTGTATCAAAGTGAGTTTCATGCGTCTACTCCCTTCCCTTTTGCTTTGGTATGAATTTCTTTTATCGTATTAGCAATTACACATTGAAAAGTTGTTCGTACATTGTTTCACTTATAGTGTTTTGATAAGTAGTCCTAATTTTTTTGCCGTGTATGCGTGCAGAAATATCGAATATTCCATCGGATGGGTGGGATTGGTACTTCTTTTGCCCTTCTCCTTACCTAGCTCAAAATAGCGACAGGGTCAAAAGGCAAACAAGAAGCGGTAAATGGAAAATCACATGCCTAAAGGACAAGATAAAAACTCGAGACACAAAGGCTTTAATAGGCACCAAAAGGATATTGGTCTTTTACAAGGGTCGCACCAAAACTGGATGGGTGATGCATGAGTATCACATGAATCCCAATCTTCTTAATGGATACTCCTCAGCTCTTCAGGTTCCCGTTTGATCTATCTACGATTTCTCTTATAATTTTCATTTGCAAAAAAAATTAGCGAGGAATAAACAGGCTGAAGAAAGTAGGATGATGATTCCTTTGAACTATGACATAACATCAATGGCTTTCAACAAAATGAGCCAATTAACTACTTAGGGTTGGCACAATTGGTTGCGGCACCAATGGTTTTCAATCTAGGAGCTAAAGGTCACCCATTCAAATCTTGACAACCGCATGTAAACTGCTCTGAATTAGAAGAATTTGCATAGGCCAAAAGCCTACATTTTATTGGTTCATTGGACTTGCACGATGATCCATGAGCTTAGCCCAACCTTATGCTCATGCCCTGGATTATAAACAGAAAAGAATGAGCTAATTATACTCTTGTATCATGTTATTATTATTTGTTTTTGTTGTGACCATGTGACATATACTTTTCAGGTTGTGTCTTTCATTTACATCCCGCATTGTATTAAAAGTGAAGCTTTCAGATTCTACTGACTCTAATCTTTGTTACAATTATAATTGCAGATACCATATATCCTTTGTCGCTTGAAGAGGAAACCAAGTGAAAGCTTGGAGATTTCCCCAAGTTTTGAAGTAGGTTCAAGTGTAACTCATGACACTCCAGTTGCTTCTCAACATGGGTTGACAGAGGAGACAGACCAGGAGGTAAATAACTGAAAGGACCGAACCTCTTTTCTGGATTTTTCTTCTGTTAGTCACTTATCTCTACTTCCATTTTTGGTGTTGGATATTTGCGGTTCCTAAAGCAACCTTTCCTCCCTCTTTTGAGGTTCCCGTTTTCTGTTGCATGGTTTGGTTCTTTAATATTGCCAGTAAACACATTTAATTATTCTTTAAATAATTAATTCATAAAAATTGCTTTCACAGATAAGATACTATATAATAAATCATATATTATATATTTCAAAAACATCATATCATGTCTTTGTCTACTGGTTCCTTTTATTTTGCAATAGGCATAATGAATGTACAAATTTCAAATTATGCATTTAAAAATTGTAATGATGAATTATTCCATCTGATTATTGCATTACTAAGCCGTGGAGAAATTAATGCCAAATGATTTGATCACATTTATACAAAAGAAAAAAAAAAGCTCATTAGATTATGTCGGGGTGTTGCCACATGGGAAAATGAATGATGAACAAGGGGCAACTAATTTGTGGTATATATGTTCGATAATCTGTGTGATATTATAGTGATCCATCTCCTGCAACTTGTTAGTATCTACCAAAAACATGTAAAATAAGCATAAATGCAATATGAATAGGTACTCTTGTGCTAGTAGAGGAAGGGAAAAAATGTAAAAGAAAGTCTTGTGTGTTAGAGGAAGCCATTTAAAGTCGCCATTTTTCGTTGCACCGTAATTGCGTTACTCACTCACTCTGTCTCATTCTCTCTCACTTCACGGACAAAGACTGAAGGCGGGGAAAGTTCCACAGCGACGAGCGAAGAATATTGCACTGAGGAACAGGAAAAGGTAAAGGAAAAGGAGAAGCTGAGTGATTAGTGGAGACGATTGTGAGCTGATTCTCTTGTTTCTTCTCTTAGGTTGCTCATTTTATTTCCTTACACGAGTCACTCATCTCTACTTCCTTTTCTGGTATTGGATATTTGCGATTCCTGAAGCCATCTTTCCTCCCTCTTTTGAAGTTGCCATCTTCTGTTCTACTTTAACTACTTACTTGGGTTGCGTACTCCATTCTATTTTAGTTACTTATCCCTACTTGACTCTTTTTGGTATTGGATAGTTTTGGTTCTTTAAAATTGCCAGTAAAAACTCATTTAATCATTCTTTAAATATTTAAAAATTTGCTTTTGTAGATAAGATATCAGATAATAGATAAGAGATTACAAATTATAGATTTCAAAAAATCATGCGATGTCTTTGTCTAGTAATTTTTATATTTTGCAATAGGCATAATTAATCCACAAGATTAACATTATACATATAATAACAGTAAGTATGCCATGGAGAAATTAATGTCAACCACATACAGACTTTAATTTATGACAGAAAGAGACACTAATTAATTTTGAAGCATATTACTCTAGATTAAGAAAAATACAACCACATACAGACTTTCATAAATGCATTTGAAACAATGTGTCCCATGGTTATGGATTCTTTATTTGAAAAGTAGAAAATAGAACTAGTCAAGAGCACTGAAAATTGATGTTATTTGTGCCGAAGGTCTCTGTTCACCCCTTGTTTATGTTGTATGAGGTGCTCTGTTGCATAATAGATACATATCTGAATTCTGGATTATGCCATCTAAGAGATCTTGGATTGGGCAGGCTTATCCTTTTGTCGTACAAGGGCAGGCTCATCCTTTTGCCGGAAATCCCTTTGCCCTTGACCGGGCTGACCAGGCAGAAGGGCCTATTTATGTGAATGCTAAGCAATATCAGGGGATTTTGAGACGAAGACAAGCACGTGCTAAAGCTGAGGCTCAAAACAAGCTGATCAAAGCTAGAAAGGTAAAATGCATTTTTTATGCTTTTTGATTTGGAAGTTCTCTCTGGCCTTTGCCAGTTATAAAAATTGGATATGAAGGTTTTTTTGATTTGAAGGTATTCTGCTCGTGTTTGCTTCCTTAGTCACATGCTATATTGACATTAAATGCTATTTTTAGGAAATTCTATTTTGCGGGAAATAGTCTGACGGCATACTTAATCCTCGTTACAGATTTTGCAGCTATCTCAGCATTTAATCCATTGGGGATAAACTTAATTGATATCTTTTCTTTGCTTGTTCTCTGATATGGTGTCATTCCTTTCTCTTGTCTTGGTTTAATTGGATCTATAGCCGTATCTTCATGTGTCGCGGCACCTGCATGCCATGAGAAGACCCAGGGGGAGTGGAGGGCGGTTTCTTAATATAAGTAAAACCAATGCTTCGAATGATGCAGCTGAAGAGAAGGGCACGAACTCTGGTCCGGCTCTGTCTTCCCAATCTGCCAGTTCATTGGGCTCTGAACCTTTGGCACCCGACTCCTCTGAAACCTGGGAATCATCTAGTAGTCACATGGCAGGAAGGTCGCAAGCAAGGGTGTCAACCGTTCCGTTCGGTACCGGTTTTCGGGGACTCCAAATTGAACCGAACCATTCGGGTGAGCAGCTGAACCGAACCGAACTGAATCGCGACCTGAACAAAATACGACCCTAGTTCGGTTCGGTTTTTCGGTTTTCTCTTTTTCTTTTTTATGAGAAAAACACCTTTTCTATTCTAATTTACTTTTCTTGTGTTTGTTTTGTTTTTATTTGGGTGGGGGCAGGGGACTAGACTAGTCTGGTCTAAAAAAAGTAGAATAAAAGAACAGCTGAACTAATTTACATAATTATGACCAAAATAAACGGGGAAAAAACAAAGGGTGGCTCCTCAATGGGTGTGTAATCTGTATTGTAAGAGCAACTTAGCAGAGTTAAAAATAAGAGGGAAGACACTTTATCATTTACATAATTCAATTCGCTTGCAGTTGCTCTTGTTGGTGGGGCGTCAATTCGTTTGAGTTTCATTTTTAACATGATGTAGTCTCGAGTTGCATCTCCTTCCGCTGCTGCTTTGTAAAGCGACCTCTCAATTTTACTCTGAAGCAGATCCGGGTTTCATAATCGCGTTTTGCTTTTAGCTTTTGGCTTTAAGACGGCCAGGAAAATTAATTCCTTTCGAACATCAACATCCTTGACAGAACCATTGTCTTGTTGACCAGTAGAAATTCTTTAAATTTGTTGACCATGTTATTAGCCCACAAAAACAATATAACATTATTAGTTCATATATCGGCACAAATGAATGTAGTTTTGATTGGTGTACATCATGTATAGATAAAACCTTAGGCATTTTAGTCCACATGCATGTTGTTACCGGTGAAAACATATATATTTAAAAGTTACGGATTCGTATGCCGCTTGTGGCTTGGTACGGATTTATAAACTCTTACATTCAATATAATATATCTTTTAGCCTATTGTCGGGCTCTGTCATTGGTAACAATACCAAGTGTACTTAAAAGTTACGTATGTGCTGATTTATACGAGGTCCGCGGCTTGGTTTCTCGATCCGGCAACGATTGTGTGTACTTATAAGCATGAGAACTAATTTTATAAGGTTTTAGGAGGAGATAAATTGATGTTACTTCGTCTATTGGCATGCTTCGTTCCATGGCTAAAATAGAGCTACTTAGGATGCGTATAATAACCATTTTGTTCCAGAAATAGATTTTTGGCTTTTACTATTTATATTTCTTGGAAGAGTTTCTAAATAGAGATATGCGTTCGACAACGAAATAATTTTTTTTTTCTCAGAACAGAAATTCGTTTGATAACAACACAAAATTTCTCTTTCTTACACTCTTTGTCATTCATTGACGGGAGGCCGGCGGTCGGCAAGGGGTGGCGGTGGTCGGTGGCCAACAACGGGAGGTGGTGGTCGATGGGAGGCCAGCAGGGGGTGGCAGGTGGCTAGCAGTCGTTGGGCGGCCGCAGGGGGTGGCAGTGGTCGGCATCGGGAGGCGGCGGCCGATCGGTAGCGGGCGGTGGCGGGAGAGTAGGGCGAGCAATGAAAAGAGTTTCTGTTTCACTTTTTGTTCTAGAATAGAAAAGTATAAAATTTTTACTTCTTATTTTTGATCCAAACCTATTTCTGGATTAAAAAATTGTTCCAGAAATAGAAAAATGAAATTGTTTTACCAAACGGATATATGTTCCAAACCTGTTCCCAGGAACAGGAAAATTTGAAAAACAGAGAAACCATGTGGTTATCATACGCGTCCATAATATGGATCATTGGGTCAAAGGATTGGCTTGGCGACTTGACCGGCACCAATAGACATGTCCATGCTCTCCGAGGATCGAGCCTGCACATGAATTTTGAACCATCAACGCCCCATTTAATGGAAAATGTCAATTCGCGTTGGCCCGGAAAAAACAGTCTCTTTGGATCCTATCTACTAATCTCGAATATCTTCTATGTGTGATGAAATTCAGGTCCTCATTTATTATTTTGTATTCGTTGGGTTGACTGGGCTTTGACCACTAGCATCGTCTTGTTGACATTGGAAATTCTCTAAATCGTTGACCAAGTCATAAGCCCAAATAATAATAATAATAATAATAATAATAATAATAATAATATGATAGGGTTTATTCATATATCGGCACAAATGAATGTAGTTTTGAGTGGTGTATATTCTGCATAGATAAAAGTTTATGCATTTAGTTCACAGGCATGCTGTTACCGGCAAAATTAAATTTTATAAAAAAAATGAATATATTTAAAAGCCAAGTATGTGCTGATTTTTTTTAGCATCCTTCTGATAATATGAGCGTAGTAAATATATTAAACTGAATTTTGATACTGAAAAATCCACGTGGATCTCACTCCCACCAAACCTAACGGCCCGATTGAAGTTAGTTGCGGTATTAGCTACACGAAATACTTGCTCGCTGGTCACTGCTGCTTTCATTTATTGTCCTTGCATTGATTTATCTTCACGTGATGTTTGTACTCGTTTGTGGTTCGTCTTTATTATTTTGTACACAATGGCTCCAACTTTTCCAAACCTAATAAAAATATGTGGCCCATTCCTCCATTATTTGTGTACCTCTTCCGACTTTTCCAAACCTAATAAAGGCGGGGCTATCTACAATTGTATGAAATCGACAATTGCCACCCAACACGTAACTATTCTTGAGACAAATCATCATATTCAGTTAAACTCATCTTCATTCAAAAATTTAAGCTAATAAGCTCATATGTTATCTCCTCCACGCCACACAAATTATCCGATATGGGACTGAACTATAAAGGCGACCGTGTTGCGATATTACAACGCCCACCCACTCGGAAACCCTTGGAAAAGGTAATCGCTAAAAGGGAGCCCAAGTCCGAGCCCGTCAACATATTCAACTAAATTCACTTTTATTTAAAAGGTTAAATCAATAAGTTATGAGTCAACTTGGATATATTAACTACTCCATACCACACCAATTCTCCGATATGGGATTTTTCTAACACAATTTATACGAGCATCTTAACATCCATGTATAGATACGCATAAGCCATTGATGTTCTCTAATTACCATCTCTCTCTCTCTCTCTCTCTCATTAATAACTTAAGCATCATAGGGTCACACATGAGTCACAAATTTTTGAATGCTTTTACTCGTTATTTGTGGGTACAAGTTGAATCCTTGATATGGGATTTGATTGACGCCGTGGGACCATAGATTGCACATCAATAAAATGCCTCACAGTGTTGCTCTCAACGCATTTTCACCGTTAGATGCATGAAACTCTTATGCATAAAAAACTTGTTGCTAGATCTAGCATTTGAAATGTACATTTGGCGCACAACTGTACTAAAATGTTAGAGATGATGCAATGAGATGATATTTCAGAGTAGTTTACCTGGATTTAAAATTTTTCTACTTTTGCAGAAATTCAAAACTCATGAAAAGTTGTGATTAAATGTTTTCGGAATTTCTTTTTAATAAATGCTTACTTTTTAGACAAATCTCTCGAAAACTAATTGTCATGTCTAATCCAATGGTTGTGCCTCTTCACAAGACACATTATTCCGTTGTTCTTGTCAAAACATATTCCTTCAATCAGAAATGCTAGTCCAATTTTCTTGTGTACATATTGAGAGAAAACCTAAGGTGAGATGAAATTTGGAGTCTTAATATAAAAATTACGGTGTAAGCAAACAGAAAGTATTCTGCATGAAAAACTAGACGACTCATGCGTCGATCAAATAAACGGAACCTTAATGTTGCGTACAGAAAGGGACAGAGGTTCGGCTTCAATAAAGGGCAAAGCTTCAAGTTCTGGAAGGGGCACGGCTTTGAGTTTACGAAGGGGTAGAGGTTCAAGTTCAAGAAGAGGCACAACTAAAATGGGCGCAAATTCAAAATCGGGAAGGGGCATAGCTTCAAGTTCACGAAGCGGTGCGACTTTGAGTGCAGGTTGGGGCAGAGGTTCAACTTCAGGAAAGGGCCCAATGGTGAGTTCAGGAAGGGGCATGACTTTGAGTTTAGAAAATTTTCGTGGGTGAAATTCTTTTTTTTTCATCTTAAACAATATAAGCGATCATTTTAAAAAATATATATTTTTATAATTATTTATTTTTCGCGAAACGAATGTGCTCTCGGTAGGTATGCCCGTTTTTCATTCTTTGTGTGTGCCCACGCCACAGACAATGCAAAGGGGATGCTGACACGTGTCTTCAAGTTCTGTATGGATGCCCTTTCATTCTGAATACAAGTGGCGATCTCTTCTGTGGTGGGCACGGCCTAGTGGGCATGGACTGAAAATTTTTTGTACATGAACTCTTTTTACTAACTTTTTCAGTCTAATTTATTTGATTCTTTTATTCCTTTATTTCTTTTAGTGAAAACGCTGGTGATTTTAAAAATAGTGGACCCATCGCCTGCTCTTGAATTTCGTTTCTCGACCGCCTCTAGTCAACTTTAATTTCTTATCTCGGCATATGAATGTTAAAAGCATAATCTCTTCGATTAATGATCCAACATGCATTAAATATTGAGTCTTATTAACCAGAACACCAAATCCAATGTAAAAGCTAACGAAATTTTTTTTATATTAGATGATATCAATACAAAATGAATAAGTACACCTGAAAGTCATTATGTGCATCAAAATCGTAGTAAAAGATAAGCACTTCACAAATAAATCTCACCAAATGCTACTTCACCGTATTTACCGCAAAAAATCATAGGCATTTTGCTCACTCTGGACACCGTGCCAACTGTTATTACATTCTCAGCGACTTAGATTTTTTGAAAGGGTCAAAATCAGCTTAGGCAAATTACATTTCGTAAATGTATCAATGAAAAGCGAGACGAATCAAGAACTTATACTCGTATACACTTATACAGATGAATAGACATTTCAAAGGAAGCACAAATTCGTAAACTCACGAAAAATAGGAGTAATGGCGGCTTGGAGAAGAAGACGACGTCGAAAACCCTTCCACATCTATTTATCGACCTGTTTCCTTGTTATTAAGATATTGGGCCACAAGAGAAAGATGTTAATGCATCAGGCCTAAAATATTCATTAAAGCCCACGTATTTGCCATGAGAGTAGCACATAGCCGCATTATAACGCTCACCAATTTCTTCACTACTTCAAGATAATCTTTAGATAATTTCTGTGACTCCAGCTCTCCTGCGAGCTCAAGTTTTTGATCCAGAATCTCATCAACAAATTTCTCATGTCCAGACATTGCTGCTATATGCAAATTTGTAAGACCAAGCCACACCATACATCTATCAAGAATCAGTCCATCGTCTTTGAGCAAATCGAGCAAAGAAGGTGCGTCTCCTTCAGCTTCTGCTTTGTGAAGCCTCCTCTCCATTTTCACTCTTAAACGAATACGGGCTTCATAATTTTGTTTTGCTTATCACATTGGGCTTTAAGATGGCCACGAAAATCTACTCCTTCTGAATCAAACTCCAACATCCTTAACAAGAACCATCATCGTGTTATGTCGGAGATGTGATTTGATATTATTGAAGATTCTGATATTGGGCACCGATCTTGATTGACTAATTGATTTAGTCAATCCATGATTGATTTTGATAAATAGGAAATTGTAATCTTTTGTATATTGTTTCCCATTTGTCTTTCTTAATCATTCACTATAAATAGGTCATGTACATGTATACTGAAATATATCGATACAATATCAAAAATTCTCCAATTCCTTTTGTTTTCTGTCATGGTATCAAAGCCTTCTTTCCTGGCATAGCTTCCGCAATTCTGGAATTGCCTCCGGTTCTATCCTTGCTTTTGTTGTTGCGATCCTTGCAAAACAAATCGGCCAACCTGTAGGAATTCAAATTTTTTGTTTCTTGATACCATGTCAAACAATCAAAATACAAACCAGGAGTTGCTGAACTCACCTCAAAATCAAACAATATCGGATCAAATGTGCAACGCTAAATTTTAAAGAAATAATATTAGTAGATTAATCTAAAAATCAAAACCATCGAGGTTATGTGCTGGTGTCGTCGATGACTCGAGAATCGTGGTGGAAGTCCTGGGTGCTACCCGATGTGTTTGCCCCAATTCAGAACTCTGCAAACCCCGCGAGCCAAAAAAGCCCGCAGAGCCTAACGCCGCCTTCTGAAACATTTCAGGCCGATGGGAATACTAACCGACCCAATCAACCATCCTACTTCATCAAAGAACAGAGGATATCCGATGATGGGTACAATTGGAGGAAGTACGGTCAGAAGCAAGTGAAAGGGAGCGAGAACCTGCGCAGCTACTACAAGTGCACGTACCCGGGTTGTCCGACGAAGAAGAAGGTCGAGAGATCTTTGGATGGACACGTTACCGAGATTGTGTACAGGGGAAATCACAACCACCCCAGGCCACTGCCCGCCAGTAGATCGTCTTCCCAATCGTCTCAGCCTCCATCTTCTTGCATCTCATATTTGGAGAATCCCGGTCAATTGGCTTCTGTGGCGTGCTCCGAAAAGGGGCAGCAGGACTCTTCGGCCTCACTGGGGGATGACGATTCCGAAGTGAGCTCTCAGATGAGCGACTCTACCGGCGATGACGATGGAAACGAACCTGAAGCGAAGCGATTGAGAGGAGGGAATGAATCTAAGGGCTATTCATCTTCTGGCAATAGGACTGTGAGAGAGCCTAGATTTGCGTTTCGGACAACGAGTGAGGTTGATATTCTTGATGATGGATATAGATGGCGAAAGTATGGACAGAAAACGTTGAAGGGAAACCCCAATCCAAGGAGCTATTATAAATGTAGGAACATTGGATGCCCTGTGCGGAAGTGGGTCGAGCGATCGTCTGACGATATGCGGACCTTGATCACGACTTACCAAGGCCAGCACAACCATGACGGCCCCGCATCTGTGGCAGAAGAAAGAAAGACAGAGGTTTCAACTGTGGACGCAAGGGGCATTTTGCCAAAAATTGCCCCCAGCGAAGAAAAAGAAGAACGTAAGTTTTATGGAGTAGATTCATGGTGTCTGGAAGCTGAAAGGCAGTCCGAGTGAAAGGCTGAGCAGCCGTATTGGTGGGATAGCATACTTGCCTCAGGCGTTCATGGTTTCCTTCGTAGCCCCTTCATGGTATATATATAATGTCGAACTCAGCCCCATCTTGAGTTTGGGAATGGAGAGCGAGTTCGACATTTCAGGTTCTGATGAAGTGTCAGACTGGGTGAAAGCGAAACTGATGGCACCTCCTCCATTGATGATTTCCAGTTAGAGCCGGGCAATATTGAATGTTTTGAGGCCCTGGGAAATAGGAGGCAGAGAGACGGAAGGATTGGGCGCTATGGCTGTGTCAATGAGGGGAAACGGTTAGTATGGAAAATAGGAAGAAGGACAAGGATGAGATTGTGGAACCTGCCAACCCAATTGATGTTGTTAGGTCGAGTTGCCCAACATGCGAAGGAGTTGAACACTATGAGGGAACCTGCAAAGCTACAACTGTAGTTGAGGATCAAAGAGACTTTTCTTCTGTAAGTACTGAAGATTTGCATTATCTTAATTATGCAGTCCTCAAAACTTATGTTGAATTTCAACGTGGTCTAGGTGAAGAGGGGTAGAACTGTAGAGACTGCTCGAGTACTTGCAAAAGCAGGCAAAGGAAGTGGGACCCTATGTGCCTCAAACCAAGAAGGGATCCTGCAAAAAGAGGCAGAGCAAGGTGTATAGCTTCAATTTCAAGAAACAACAAAGCTTCGAGGTCAGGTACGGTGCAACTTCTACTTCAGCAAAAGACACGACATCAAATTTTGGAAGGGGCATAGCTTCAAGTTCACGAAGCAGTGCAACTTTGAGTATATAGGAAGGGGCAAAGGTTCAGGAAAGGGCACCACTTTCAGTTCAGGAAGGGGCACGACTGTGAGTATAAGAACGAGTAGAGGTTCAAGTTCAAGAAGGGGAACAACTAAAACGGGCAGAAGTTCAAGAGCAGATCCTGATGAAGACTCAGATTCTGCATCTGTGGGTGAAAGCAATTGACGGCGCCTCCTCTATTGATAATTTCCGGTCAGAGATGGGCAATGCTGAATGTCTTGAGGCCATGGGAAATAGGAGGCAAACAAGGGATAGAAGGATTGGGCGCTATGGCAGTGTCGATGGTGGGAAAACTGCAAGTATGGAAAATAGGAAGAAGCACAAGGATGAGATTGGGAAACCTGCGAACCAAAGTCCGATTGAGTTGTCTAAGGTGCTAAGGAGTTGAACACTGAGAGATCCTGCGAAGCTACAAATGAAGTTGAGGACGAGAGCACTTTCTTCTGTGAGTACTGATGATTTGCATTATCTTAATTTTCCAGTCCTTGCTTATATGAAATTTCAATGTGGTCCAGGTGGAGAGGGATAGAACTATGGAGAGTGACCAAGCACTTGCAAAAAGAGGCAAAGGAAGTGGAACCCTATGTGCTTCAAAACCAGGAAGGGATCCTGCAAAAAAGGTATAGCAAAGGGTATAGCTTCAAGTTTAAGAAACAACAAAGCTTCGAGGTCGGGTAGGGACGCAGCTTCTACTTTCGGAAAGGGCATGACATTAAATTCAAAAAGGGGCATAGTTTCAAGTTCACAAAGCAGTACGACTTTGAGTTCAGGAATGGGCACAACTAAAATGGGCGCAATTTTAAGATCAGGGACGAACAAGGTTCAAGCTTGGCCAAGGCCGAGCCTCAAGCATCAAGTTCATGATTAGAACAGTATGGTAAACACGAACAAGCACTGCAGCAAGCGGAAGATCTAAGGCAATTTTATAGTAGAAATGCACGTTCTTTAGTGTCCGACTAGCCTTTATTCTTTGTGTGTGTGCATGCCACAGGCAATGCAAGGTTACAAACTCTACTTTTTGGAGGAGACTCGAGACCAATTTGTCCAAGTAAAGTTCCATTTGGCTTTAATTTACCAAATTTTTCTTAAGGAGACTCAAAACCAACAAGTGGTTATTGGCTGCGGATCATCTGTCTACTTCCATGAGCCAATCTGTTGTCTCAATTCTGTTAGAGGTGTTTCCACTTCTTTTCTGCCCTCTTCCCTAGTTTTATTCCCAATCTGTTAAGTACACAGTTTAAAAGAATATTTGCTGATAACAAGGGGCCGCGATGACTCTTGGTTGTCTAATTTAAAAGAATCGAATGATCGATGAATCATTCACATACTAACAAGTACCATATTTTTCTTTGTATGTGGTTTTACCCGATTCAGCTCAAGTATATAGTTTTATAGGCAGTGTCTTTAACCCGAACACCTCTAGTCATGTGCAGAAACTGAAAAATATGGATTTTATAGACGTTGAAACAGTATGTGCTCTTCTGCTCTTCCAACTTTTGGGAACTATTTCCTTGGTCCCTTCCTCAACCTGGGGTAAAGGCTCTGTTAGCAATACGTGATGTCTGTATTCTTCAGAACTAGAGTCCTAATTGATAATTGAACAGTTTCAGAGTTTTATATGAACTATAATGCCTTTAACGGCGGCTTTAAGATTTAGTGAGAAATAGCTAAACTGTCAAGGTTAAAGAGTGAATGTGCAAAGCGGATTAGTTCAAGGCTTACGGAGTGTAGAATAAATTGGAGGCTAGGCCTTTTCGGTTCAAAGCACCCAAACGTGAGCATTGATACTGGGCCAGCTTGACAACAAATTGTCTAAATCAAAGTCTGATGGCTGGCGCAGGGCAGCGATCAGCGGCCGCAAAGTTAGACAGAAGACAACCCCAGGCTTCACCTTATTTAATATTCCTTCCTTATTTTTTATCTTGTTCACACTACAAAAGTAGGCTCTACAAGTGATTAAAGGAAATATGCAAGCGAAGCTAGATGTGATTCATGACTGTTCTTTGCGTTCCACTTTTCTTGGTTTTTTATTGTGATGTACGTGTTTCTAGTAAAGACCCGATGCTTTAGTGCGATCAAGTGGAGCAGGGAGCAAGTATACGTCATTTATCCCAATTTATTAGATGCACGAAAATAACACTCTGCCCTGAAATCGAATCTAAATTTGTTATTATGGCAGAATGCGGCACCCCGTGAATGATCCGGAACCAAAAGAAGTCGACAGTAGTTGCAGGAAAAGACCTGGAAAGGGTGGTGCATTTATGTTATCACCTTATCTTCATCTATTCATTCGCTTTCAGATAGCATCTAATCGTCCCTCCAAGAAAAAGTTCGCAAACGCTTAGAAGTCACACGGGCTGTGTCAATTTTGAATGCCTAAAATTTTTTCAAAAAGCAGGAAATAAAAATCGCACCAGGGAACAGGGACTTGATCTTGGGTCTTGAAAACAAAGTCTCAAAGGATTGGTAGACTCGATTTCTGAAAACAAAATGCACGTTGAATTCTCTTTTACTTGCTTATTTGTCATCGATGATCCATTTCCAAGCCTGACGGAGGAGACATTACATAGACTCAGGTGATATCTTAAGAGAGACAATATATCTTCTCGTTTTAAAGCAATGGAGTGATCTTGAGATGGTTTATATTTTTGACTTTCTAAAAACTCCAAAAAAGATGAACAAATAAATTTGCGAGGAAAATAAATGACAAACCCAATTTACAATGAGTTGACATATTTTTGTCACGTGAGCACCACATCAGCATCAATTGCTTTTTGTCGTCCATTAGACAGCCACATAAGATTTTTAGCGGCTTTAGTTAACGGAATTTCGACAGCGTTCACACGAGTGCAAGTTTGGAGTAAATGTGTCACACGGGTACAAATTTGGTACTTTTTATGTCATAGAAAAGAATTTAGGTTAAATGCATCACACAGGTACAAATTTGGGGTTTATAATGTCAAGAAAAAAGATCTTTAGGCTAGACAAGATTTTGGATCTTTAAAATAGTCTTACCTGCTGGACTCTTTATACCTACTGGAACAAAGATCTCGCTCGACGGAGTATGGTTGTTGTTTGTGTGAAGTTCAAAATTTCTCGGATAGTCTTGTTTTCGAAAAAGCCACGCCCGGTAGTGCTCTTTGAGCTTTGATTGATTTGAGCCGATGACCGGAGGTCTAAAAAAGGACTGCCTTGGAGGGATATTTCTTCACCGGACAACAAACACATACTCGAAGAAGGAGAGATGTCTTTTTTCCACAGATGGGATCAAACATTTCTTTTCCACAGTCTATCAGATTCGGGACAAAACCAATCTCTTTTTTTTTTTTTTTTAAATTCTTATGTTGTCGGAATACCCGGTATTAGCATGTTAGCATACAGAATTACTAGTGCAGGAAAACCAGGAATAGACACAGCCCTTTCCTCTTCTCAACAGGAAAGACGGACATCTTACAAGCTTGGCTGGTCCGGTAAGATATTTAGCAATGGCTGCCAAAAGAACTTAGCTTATCAAAAAAGAACTCCCTCGAATGGAAGGCATAAGCAAGATCAAAGTAAACCTACTATCGATGGAAAATAATAAACTTTTCTCTCATCTGGCCTGTTCATCTATCATGGATATAATTTGCAGTTTTTTGTGGTTTTTTCCCTTTATTCTAATAAGAACTCTCTCTTATTGAGGCATACTTTCCTAAAAAAACCCCAACTTTAGGTCAAGTCTCAAATCTGCCTTGAACTTTTTTTTATCTCAGAAAAAACCCCAAACTTTAAGTCCAGTCCCAAATCTACCCCGAACCTTTTTTTGTCTAAGTAAAAATCCCAAACTTTAAGTTCAATCCCAAATCTACCCCAAATTTTATTTTGTGTAAAGAGAAATCACCAAAATTCAATTTATTTTAAAAAATATACGCCCGTGATCCAGTTCCAACTTAACGTGGCACTTTCACATTGATAACAAATCCACATCAACAAAGTAATGAGGCTTTTTTTTAGACAAAGAAAAGTTCGGGTCAAATTTGGACTAAACCTAAAAATTGGGTTTTTTTAATTAAATTTTTTTTTGGGGTGGATTTGTTATCATTTATAACTTTCTTATCCTAGAACGGTTTTATTTTGGAGAATTCAACAATTTTTATTGGATTGGATTTGTTATCGAAGTGGAAATGCGGCGTCGGTTTATACATGTCGCCTCATTATTTTGATGATGTGGATTTGTTATCAATGTAAAAGTGTTACGTCAAGTTGGGACTGGATCACGGGGATATATTTTTGAAAATGAAATGAAATTTGCTGATTTTTTTTACACAAAACAAAATTCGGGACAGATTTAAGACTGAACTTAAAGTTTAGGATTTTTTCTGAGATAAAAAAAAGTTCATGGAATATTTTGGACTTGACCTAAAGTTTGAAGTTTTTTAGGGAATTCACCCCTCTTGTTGATAATAAACTCCCTTAATTTAGAGAACTCGGATAAACCATATCATCGCCACTCCTCGTAGGATTCCTGGATGTGTAGCTATTGAGCCTTGGACGATTTTTCTAATGAAAAATAGTTCAAACCTTTTGTAAAGTCTTAGGCACTTTATCTAAAGAAAATGTACACATTGACAGGGCTTCGACGGTCGACCATAAATGTGAGAGGAGAGCAGCAACGAAGACGTCATGGACAGAAGCGAACGAGTTAGGCGCTTTCTTGCGTGCGAAGGGTACACGTTAAGGTCAAGTAAGGGTTCTAGGGTTTCGTGATCTTTGGACCACAATGCTCCTAAGAAAGGCATAAATGTGACGAAAAAAGTATACAATTTAGGAACCTGGTTGCACAAAAAAAATAAGTTGAGGGACATGATTGAAAATTGTCCAACAATTTGGGGACTTGATGCCTTATTTCAAAGGACAAAAAAAAAGCAGACCTTCTGATTGGCCTTTATGGTCTCCTAGGGAGTCTTTAAAAATTTCTAGTAACTCGTCAAAAATTCTTGGACATTTTCGCTGGCGTCCACATGCTGCTGCGGAACGTTTGGTGGGATATAGACGATTAAATTTGATTTGAAGGTGAGTCGGCCAACTTTGTTTCTTTCCTCAGGCTACACCAGAAAAAATCTCTTATCCCTTTGAGAAAGATTCGCGCATTGACTTGACAATCGCATTGAATTAATATAAATTATCAAGGATTTTTACTTAATGCAATAATACAATACCTTCAAATGACATTATGTTATCTTAAAAAATTAAATCTATCACAAAAAAAAAATTGAGCTTGTGTGACTTTACAAACTCCAGTTGACTAGGATAATGCAATATAATAGATGTCTAATTTCTTTTTTTTTCCTTCCAACTATCACCTTTGTGTCTTTTGCGAACGTATGCCAAACACTAGAGTCAATATTTGCAACTTATGAAGTTATTTATTTAAAGAGAGTTTATAAAAAGCTACCTATAATTCTAGAAAGGTGGGACCCCGGTTCATTTCCAGGAAATGTATCTTTGGACTTGTGGGTTTGAACATATCTTATCAAGCCAAAAAGAAAATTAAAACCAAAATATTTTGTATTGTCCAAATTTGTAGAGAAACATCCTGAGTCAAACAACTTTATATCCGGAGACTAACATATTTACTTTTGTTTGTCAGTGTAACAATTAGCAACACGTTTATTGAGTTAAAGACATCCGTAGGTAAGAGAAGTATAGATAGAGTCACATACAGAGCGAGTAATTGAGCGAGTGCTCACAATCTCATTGTAATGGCATTATAAGTTGGTAGAGATTATTAGTTCTCCTCCTCAGCTGCATAGTATGCTGTCGCTATCCTCCAGTGAAGCCAACCCACTATCGAAGTCATGATGATCACCACCTGCACTTGTCGCTATGTTGGATCGATCCCTCATCCCCCCCTTCCCCCTTTCTCTCGCTTGCACTAACATGTAATGGGTGATCATGCGGGTGTGCAAACAAAAATGTAGCACTCAATAATCAAAGCAATAAATAAGAAGCAAAGCTTTATTATCGAACAATTGACCAAGTATTTTACAAGATACTACAACTAAGAAGCAAAAAACTATGTAATATATGCAAGACCTAGACATGAATTGTAAATATGGTTATGCAATGCTAATTAATTCTATCTACATGATGCGGTTATTAAAAATCAATCCCAAAAATATGTGGCTCTCTAGATGACGTGCAACATGCAACATGAATATTATAGAACTAGTTAATTAATTCTACAATTTAATGTCATCTATATGATATATGGATGCAATATTTTTTTGAGATTTTCTTTATGAGTTAAAATAGAAAACTGCCTAAATCTACGTGATGACTTTAACAAATCAGGAAATAATATATGTTAAATTCTAAACCTACACTAAATAAAGTTTATGCTTTCTTAAATTACGACGTGATTCCTAATGCACGGAAGATATGAATTTCTAATTATGAAACATGGATGAATGCAATCTTAATTAAATGCAATGAAATCATTTGTATTTTTATTTTGATGTGACGCATCTAATCTAATGACATGCATATCCTAAAGTTTTGCATGATTAATGATTATGTGACAATGAAATTAATTTAGTGATACTAATAATTACTAAGGCCAAACCAATTAAAATGAAATTTTTGTTGGCCTAATTTAATTAAAATGCTTCTAATGTCTAAATGCAATTCAATTAATATTTTTGTTTAAGGATCATGGTTGACTCTTGACTTTTTATGTAATGAATGACTAAACGGGTTGCCAAAATTTAAGTGTCAACAGATACGAAACTGATTGACCAAGATAAGAAGAATAATAATGATAAATATGAAGGTACATAAAGAAAAGTTGAATTAGATACTTAGTAAAGATTCTTCTTCTTTTCTCTCTCATATTGTCACATTTTCTTAGGGGAAATTATCATAAAAGTTCTAAACTTATATCACTCATGCCAAATCAGTCCTAAACCTTTTAATTTTGTCAATTTAGTCCTAAACATTATAAAAAAAATTTCCAATTCAATCATAGACTTTCAATTATATCAATTTAATCTTAAACCTTTTAATGATTTGTCAATTCAGTCCTTCTAGCTATTTTGGAAATCACTAACATGGCGGTCTTGATAGTGCCAACAATCCTATGTGGCACAACTAGCACCGATGTGAACAATTTTTGAAATTTTTTTAATTTTTTTCTTTTATTTTTTTTCCAACCTTCTGCTGGCGAGGTCGCTGCTTGACCCTCGCCTGGTCTAGGCAAGGGTTGGCCTCACCAGTCCTCGCCAAATCTTAGCGAGGATTAGCCAAGGAGGTTGGAAAAACTAAAATAAAAAAGAAAAAGAATAAAAAATTCAGGAAAATTTTAAAAAATCAAAAAATTGCAAAAAATTGTCAGCGTTAGTGCTGACCGTGCTACGTAGGATGCCCAGTGTTGACAAGATCGCCATGTCAATGATTTTCGACAAAATTTGGCCGGTAGAACTAAATTGGCAAATCATAAAAATGTTTAGAACTAAATTATCATGATTAAAAAGTTTAGAATTAAAATGGAAAATTGTTAAAAGGTTTAGAACGGAAGATTACCAACTTTCAAAGTGAGAATCAAAAGTTTACACCGAAAAATTAAAAAAAGATAAAACCACTTGAGAGTACAAAATTCTGCAAAAACCTGCTGGCATTTTGCCTCATCAGAGGCAGATCAATTAATTACATGAGAAATCCAGCTATGTTTTCTCTTCATCCCATGAGCACTTCACTCGAAGTCCAAAACAGAAAAAAGAAATCCCTCTTAACACTTGTTTTAACTATTCATTCTTTTTAGGATTTGGTTCCTCTTCTCCACTATGTTTTAGCTTACCCCTGGTGTTGGCAAGCTGGTTACAAAGCACTTTGCGAAGCACAAGCCAACACCGCAGGAGCTGTGAAGCTCTCTTTTTGTCACTCCAAGTGAGGGAGTCTACTATACCTGTCAGCCTGGAGGTAATCAACCTAAGCTGACGTGGTGTTTACTTTCACCACTCAAAGGCCCCCAATTGCTACCCCTATCTTTGTCTTCCCGTGGTAGTAGGGAATACGACCCCATTTGGGCCTCTAAGGAGGATACCTTAGAGATTCCAAACGGAACCTTACAAGAGCTATATAAACAAATCCATTTTACTGCAACGATTATGTTTTTATTCTGTTCATGTCCTAGCAATTGTAGACAGAGACAAATGTCTTGCTAGGCATTGCCTTAAACTACATGTCAGAAATAAGTCATCCAACATTTAATTGTCAGAAACTATCACCCGAAAAATAAAACGAAAAAGAAACTTTAGGAGCAAGTTGAAGAGCTAAGAATTAATAATGCAAACATGGGCTCTTTTTGGTGAGCTAAGAATTAATGATGATAGGATTATAGGGACCATGTACATTCTTTATTTGTGGCACATTCTTTATATATCCTTCTACATTACATAGATACGTGAAGGAAGAGGAGAGAGATGAACTAACCCTGAATGATTGCAAAAAATTATAATGAGGTAGGCTTGTTCAGTTTTGGTTCTTTGCATATGGCAAAATACTTAGCGACTACGTAATATTTTAATGCAAAATGTCTTCCCTTAAGCAATTAGTAGTGTTTAAAAGTAGTCATTAAAGCTTCAAAGCGTTAGAAAATACCATTCCTGAAATAGTTCTTGATAATATTGTGCATTGCACAGGCTATTGACCTTGCGTAAGTTGATTGACTAGCCTCATCATATGCACAAAAAAAAAAAACACAGAGCTATCGTGAGTCTCAAATCTGTTACAAAATGTTTAATTAGGACCTTCAACTATTGTCGGCATGACAACCATCGATCGGACAAGGTAAGAGGAGCCGCCACTGACGACGATGGCAACGCAATCCGGTGCCGTGACCTTGATGGGGCACGAGTGAGGAATGGAGGAGGAGGAGGAAGTGGACGAATTCAGGGAGTGAGGCGAGAGCGCACGGAGGCGTACGTTATCTCCATGAGCACCGTGGTGCATTTGCTTGGGAGTAATGGGGCTGCTCCGTCCAGTCTTCTGTCTTTTTCTTTTTTTACATTTTCGTGTTCCTTTCGCTTTCGCGGGAAAAATTGGATTTTCCCCAGAAAATTTGGTGATTAGCTGGAACACGTGGTGATTTTGTTGAATTTTTTTGGGGGTGGTTGGTTCCATCTTAGTTTTCCACCCGAAGAGTATATCGCTTTGTGCCGCTTGAAGCCTTCGGATCTTCCCCCAAAGCCCGTTTCGTTTAGTCATGCGATACAGGGATGGGAATGGAAAGTTTTCTCCTCCACATCACCTTTATTATGGCAATTAAATAGACTTTTTTGTGCGGACTTTGACAAACGGGCGCCTTGGGAAAGGGACTTTTGGAATTCTCATCAATGAATTGTTGTTAATATCTTATACGTACAATTTGTCACAAAATAGTTCAGTGTGTAAATCATATTACGATGCAAAATGCCTTCCGTACCACAATGAGAAGCGATTGCAAGCCCGTCATTAAAGCTTCAAAGCTCTAGAAAATATCATTCCAAAAATAGTTCTCGATAATGCCACGTGTTGCATCGATTATTGGCCTTGTGTAAATTGATTGACGAACTTTATCTTATGCAAAATGTTCAATCAAGTTCCTCAACACTTTTTTATGCAATTTGGGTGTGTGTATATATTGCTCAAGTTGGTCATTCCGTTGAAAATGCAAATAGAGATTCTGACACTTTCGTTAAATGCTGACATGGCATCTTATGTTGCAGTTTTCACAATTTTAGTTAATAAAAATTTGAAAAGAAAAAGAAGAGAAAAAATGGAGGCCTCTCCATCTAAAAGCGGTTTACTGTAATCTGGATGGCATTTGTTTTGCCTATAAACGAATTCGTTCTGCAATAACCAAATTAATTCACAAAAATCACGAGAAATGCGTTTGGGTCCTTTTAGTTTTGTCTATAATTATACGATTGCGTTCTTCTCTCACCTCGGTCCTCTGTACTCAGTCAGTGTCAGGGATATATTATTTGATTCTGCATATCTCTTATATCATAATTTCGTTATTCTAATTCTGAATATCTCTCGGATCATATTAATCTCGTTATTCTGATACGAGAGATACTCAGAATTAGACAATATATTTCTAACATCAGGAATCTTTTGGAGAAGTGGGAGATTGTCCTCGCCGATTTCCTTCAACAGGCTGTCCCTGAGCACATGCCTCTCCACGTCCTTGAGCTTTGCGACGTCGACCACCTCAAAATCCAGCAAAGCAGCTCTCGTCAAACTTCTTCAACATGCAAGCGGAAGCGATGGAGGGAACTACCTCGCCTCTGATCTGGGTGAGGACTGCCCCCTTGTTGAAGATCTAAAAGCGGGCCGCAACCCTTGCCACCTGACTGCACTATCCTTCCCCTTTTCCTCTTGATTTTTCTTTGTTTTTTTTTTTTGTTTCGAGGATTTTTGTTCTTTCCAGAGTTTTATTTTTTTTAAAAATTTTGAAAACAATTTTATATATTATAATTTCCCCATAAGGTGCAACATCAGCATCTAATGGTGACGCCAGCATCTCCATTTATAATTTTAATTGAAGAATCAACTCGAATAAAAATATGCAGTTTATAAACCTAATTGCGCAAAAAGAATTGAGAGATTTGATTGAACATTTTGCGATAGTTGAAAGGAATGGTGCCTTCATCCCAAAAAAACTAAAAGAATTTCCGATTGGCCTTTATGGTCTAACAATGAGTCTTTAAAAATTTCCGAACTTGTTAAAAGGTTTTGGACACCTTCACCGGTGTCCACTTGCTAATGCAGAACGTTAGGTGAGAAACACCCAATTAAGTTTGACTTTAAAGTGAGCCAGCCAAGTATTTTAGGTATTGGCACTCACTTGCCCAGTTCATATCCACAACCTCAGTTCATTTCTTATCTAAGCCACGCCACAACGACCTGTTTTCCTCGTTACGGGAGAGAGCTATCTGAAGTCATAAGCTTGCTAGCTATGGCAAACTCGGAGGCCAGAACGAGTATTGATGCTGCTCCAGCATTAAAAGATGAGTATGATGTGTTCCTGAATTTCAGAGGAGAGGACACTCGTCATAATTTCACTGACTTCCTCTATGACCGATTGGTAGATGCCGGAGTCCATGTATTCAGGGATGAAGAAAAACTTCCCGTCGGTGAAGAGATTGGTGGCAACCTTCTACATGCTATCAACAGCTGCACACTCTACATACCCATCTTCTCTCCGACTTATGCTTCTAGTAAATGGTGCCTCCGTGAACTTGTGCACATAAGACACAACTTCTCTGAGTCGGAGGGTCAAAAAAGTATTTTTCCCATTTTTTTTCATGTGGAACCTAATGATATTAAGCTCAAGACTCAACTGTACACTGAAGACTTTTCGAGGCATGAGAAAGAGTCTCCTAAGGAAGTCGAGGCGTGGAGAGAGGCTCTGGCGAAGGTCGATGAAATCAAGGGATGGAAGGTGAAAAAGGACCAAAGGTAAAACTTTTAAAGATTCGTACCTAGTTTTTCTTTTCTTTTCTTTCTGCTTTATGGAATAAAACGATTCTTAAAGGACAATATTTAGAACTTTTTTATGATCCCTACCAAAATCAATTTCAGATTTTGCACATACTGATCTCCATCATCAATAATTCTAACCCAAAAAGTCTATTTACCCTCGCGAGTAGAATACCAGTTTTCATTCTCCATCTACGGGGAATAGATAAAAAAAAGAAATCAGGGATCGCCTCTGGTGCCAACTTTATTTTACAAATTTCTGAGTGCTCCTTAAGAAACACCAATCACATAAGAAAACTAAGATTTGGTGAAGAAAAATCATGCCTAAATATTCAGCAGAAGCTAGAGCTCCCTAATAGCATGTAAAGAATGACTGGGCGGTCATCTCGGGGCCTCGAGCTCCGCAGAGCTCATGGGAGGTCCAAATCGAGGCTAGGCAACATCGATCTGGGCCGGCACGGAGGCGATGGTCATTGCGGGCCTCTGATCTGAGGTCGGTGACGGCGCAGAGGCCTCCAATTGGTGTGGCCGTGCAAAGAGAGAGAGAGAGAGAGAGAGAGAGAGAGAGATGTAAGGGGTGCCGGAACTTCACACCAGCACGAGTAGCGGACCAGTAGACAGCGGTCGAGGATGGGTGACGACTGAAGGTCGATGGTGACAGGTTGAGGAGAGCGGGGAGGGTGATTTGATAAGAAAATGACAACAGGACTAATAATTCAGGGCGACACATGCAATTTGAAACAGAAAATGTGAAAATTAGGGGTTCCATTTGTACATGGCAAAATGTGGAGATGCAAGTTGATACACGTGGAAAATGGTTTTTGCAACTTATTATTATTTTTATTTTCACCTTTCTTCGGGGTTGTCTTAGGCAAACTAAAAAGCCTTGATATAGTAATCACCCATCTAATCTAATCCACAGTAAAAAAAAGGTGGAAATGAGTACTGGGCCACATGGCTCATTAGCTTATCATCACTCATCAATAACAACACATAATTTAGCTGTCAATTGATAACTTTAAATGTAACATACGGTAAAACACGTAGTATGCATTATTATAGCATTGTGGGCGGCCCATTACCTTCACCAATGTAAATGAGCTGTCTTTGCACAATGCAGAGTTGGCAATCTCTTATGCTTTTGGGTTTTGTAGTCAAATGTGACACCAAGTCGCTTGAGAATCTTGGATTCTAAAACATAAGACGGATATGGACAAGGAAGTGCACCGTAGATACGTAAATTCCAAATTCCGAAACATTGACTTATCCTACTAACTCAATGAACAAGGAAAGGTGCATCCCAAAACCCAGATATGTGGCCCAAACATAGGAATGTATGCACTTGATGGTGAGGAGAATCAAATCGATGTTGTGCGCCTAATCCACGTTCAGATCTTCATTCTTTAACCACCGCATTAACCCCATGGGAGTCCGGTTCCTCGGTTTTCAATTTTGAACGAATCTTAATGTGACACAGCTCTTTAAATGCCTTATATTTGACATAATCAGATTCATAGAAGACTAACATGCATAAATTAAGCAATGAAAATTATTACAATGAGTATACTGCTGGCGCTGGGAAATAGTTACAGGAATCGGGATTATATTTTTCTTCACCAAACTGTAGATGTTCAATGGATGGCGTTGGATTTGTCTACATTACCTCGGATCATGATTTTCCTATTACAAGTGCTGAATTTTTTTTTAGGCTGAGCTATAAATGCCGACATTTTGCTTATGCATGATATAATAGCCACTTAGTAACTTTGCCATCGGGTAAACCAATACTACAGTTTTCAGAAATTTCTCTAATCATATATGAAAAATGTATCATGTGAATTCTACTAAATTAGTGTATACTGATTTTTCAGTGTACTTAGATATTGTTCGTGATGTACTTCAATATTTGCAAGTTAAGATTTTGACAAACCCATCGATGATGCATGGGTATGTAATTAATCTAGTCAGCTAATGAAAGCGCTTTCATACATGGCAGCCAAGCAACAATTGTCAAATTGGTTGTTGAAAAGGTTTTGAAGGAGTTGAAGATTAAACAAAAATCAGTGCCTAAACATTTAGTTGGACATGATGATCGGGTAAATGACTTGACAGAATTATTAGATGTGAAACAACTTGATGTGCGGTTCATTGAAATTTACGGAATGGGTGGTATGGGTAAAACAACTATTGCCAAGGTCCTCTTCAATAAACTATGTGCCCACTTTGGAAAGTATTGTAGCTTCCTTGAGGATGTTCGAGAAAGGTCGACCAAAGAGGGCATAGTTCAGTTGCAGAAGAAAATAATATCTGACATTGGTGGTTTTGGATCTGTAGAGAAAATCGACGATTGTGAAGAAGGAATGAGGAGGATTGGAGCAACACTCAGTAATAAGAAAGTCCTTGTGGTCCTCGATGATGTTGATGAGAAAGTGCCCATCAAGAGTCTTATAGGAAATTCCAAATTAGTTCAAGGATCTAGGATAATCATTACTACGAGAGATAAAGATATTCTTCCAGTTGGGGGATTTGAAGGTGATATTCATCCATATGAGATTCTAAAGATGGATGATACTCCTGCGCTTCAGCTTTTTTGTTGGCATGCCTTTGATAGAGACTTTCCTTCGGATGATTATCATGAACGTTCATGTGAAATTGTCTTACTTATGGAAGGGCTTCCTTTGGCAATTGAAGTGGTAGGTTCATTGCTTAAGGGGAAAAAGGAAGATTTTTGGGATAATATGTTGGTCATGTTAAGGGAAGAACCTGGGAAAAAGATTCTAGATAAGTTGAAAATTAGCTATGATGACCTAGAATATGGTGAACAACAAATTTTTCTCGATATAGCATGCTTCCTTTTCAATGAGAAGAAAACTGATGCAACTTACATATGGGACGATTGTAAATTTTTTCCTGCAATAGGAATTGATGTTCTTACCAAGAGGTGCTTGATAAAGATATTGGATAACAATAAGTTGTGGATGCATAATCAATTAATAAACCTGGGAAAGCATATTGTCCGTCAAGAAAGTCCATCCAACCCAGGAAAGCGGAGTAGGTTGTGGGTTGCAGAAGAGGCCCGCGGAGTCATAAAAAGCAAAGAGGTCAGTAAGAAGGTCCCATTATTAAATTGAAGTTGTATATCTTGAATTTAAGGGTTCCTTTTTTGTTTATGTTTTTATCATTTTTTTCCTTCCCGTTCGAGTTGTAAAACATAGTAGTTAAAAGTTGACAAACTTCTTCACATCATTCCGAAATTTCACTTGCAGAGGAAGGAAGAGGTTCAAGGGATCGACATAGATGGATTGAATTACACCATAGAGATTAAACATGAAGAGTTTGAAAGGTTAGAAAACCTAAGACTCCTCAAGTTAGGCAACGGAACTTATGCTGCAGACTTTGCAGAGTGTTGTTCAAAGTTGAGATGGATTTCTTGGCATTCTCCTCATTGGGATTTGAGGGGAGACAATATGTATTTGAATCATCTTGTTGTTTTTAAACTTCACAATGCTAGCTTCACCGATGATGCAAAAGCATGGGACTTGATCAAGGTAAATTACATGCTCTAATTCTCGTATGATAGTCACAGTGTGTACAATGCATGGTTCTTACACTTGACATGCCATTCATTTTTATTTTACAGATGGCACGGAATTTGAAAGTTTTGGCTCTTACTCAATGTGGTGGCATAACGACAATCCCAGACTTCTCTAAATGCTTAAGTTTAAAGAGGTTGACTCTTGCGCACTGCAACAGGCTAAAGAGAATTGAAAGCTTCATTAGAGATATAGAGTTGTTGATTGAGTTAGAGATTGAATGGTGCGAGGGTCTTACAAATTTGCCAGAAGAAGTGGGGGCATTAGTGAAGCTTGTGCGCTTCTCATTGAGGGGGTGTTCTGGGTTGAGTGAACTTCCAAGCTCACTTGGGAATTTAACCTCATTGATGGAGTTAGACTTATCAAAAACGAGCATTGCCAAACTTCCAAACTCTATGAATGGACTATTGAAACTTGAGTCTTTTCTTCTGACGGACAAGACTATGATGGAATTTCCCAAATTCATTGGAAAGTTAAGATCATTACGCTTATTGAGTTTACCAAAAAATGGATCATATTCTTCGGAGCATCATGTTTGGCAGTTACCTAGTGGCATCAGCATGTTGGAAATTCTTGAAGAGCTAGATCTCTCGGTGTGTGATGAAACGACAAGTGAAACTCCCGTTGGAATTGTAGATCTATCATGTTTTAGAATCCTAAATTTAACTAGCACCCAAATTTGTGAAATTCCCAGGAACATCGACGTGCTTCATCACCTCCAAGCACTAAACTTAAGAAATTGTCATGAGATTCAAGAGTCGTCGGAACTTCCCTCAAGGACAAACAACATGCTTCATCAACATGCTTCATCACCTCCAGAGTTGGATTCTTTGTCTCGCCTAGACCTAAAAACCGATGGAAAGCTTTCGTCCTCTCTGCTGAGATTGGATTTACTATGCTCTAGCTTCAAGTGGGCAGATTTACTTCCCTCCAGCTTGATATTGAGAAATTTGACGACTTTAGAGTTCTATTATGTTGAAGTGGAAGACATTCCACTCGATAGACTTCCTGGACTGGAGAGCTTAACTGTTCACAGTTGCGAACTGCTTCAGAGATTAACCATTTCTTCAGAGAACCTACGGCAAGCTCACCTGTCATCTTGTCCAGATCTAGTTAATATATCTTTTTCTTTTTCGGAAAAATTGGAGTCCTTCTTCGTTTTTGGGTGCGCATCTCTGGCAACAATAAATTGGTTAGATCGTATGAGAAACCTGGAGAAATTGGAAATCCAACAGTGCAATGAACTTACTGATGTTTGGGGCCTAGAGCATCTAGAGTCTCTGAAATCCTTGAAGGTCAGAGCATGCATGTCATTGAGAAGGTGCATTGATCCATCTTGGACAAATATACCAGAAGATTGCCTCGTCGAAATACAGGGGTGTGGAGACTTTTTCAAAGATTCCACTCCGAGCGACCCACCTGGAATGCCTTTGTTGCGTTATGTACAGGAGATTCTTCTGGATAAATCAAACTTTGAATCCAAGTCAGACAAGGTGCGACATCTCTTTCAACAATATATAGCAGACGTGCGTGAATTGACTTGTTCTAGTTTCAGTTTGATTCTATAAATCGGTAAAACATCACAAATTGTAAAAATTTAAGTATTATTCCGAAATTTACATGAACTAAACTATATTTTTTCAATCCACCACGAAATTTTATCGGAGGTATCTTTAAATAATTCAAATACATTACTGTTACATGTTTTTTTTAATTTGAATTGTTGTTTTGTATAGATTAAATGAATACACATATAAAAGTATTATAAATTGTAATTTTTAAAATTATTCACTGTTTCATGATTGAGTGTTGGATATTATGTAACACTAGCCCTCTCGAACTTGGGTACTGTGGCACAATAGCCCGCAACTTTGAAAAATAAAAGATTCCCCCACCCTCACCGAAAATGGTCTAAAAAGTCCTAAATTATTGTACGGTGGCTAATTAGTTATAAATCTTTCAATAATGTCAATTTAATCAGAAAACTTTTGACAATTTGTCAATTTAGTCATAAATCTGTCAATTGTACTAATTTAATCCTAAACTTTTTGACGATTTGCCAATTTAGTCCTAGACATTTTTATGATTTGTCAATTTAGTCATTCCGGTCAATTTCGGCCAAAAATCGCTAACGTGGATACCAATTGTCCCACGTTGTACGGCAAGCGTTGATGTGGACAACTTTTACAAATTTTTTTATTTTCTAAATTTATTTTTATTTCTTTTCTTTCTTTTTTAAACTTTCTTTTCCTTTTTCCGTGTGGCTGGCCATGCGAGGCCCTCGCCGGCAGCAGGTGAGGGTCACCTGGCAAGCTTGGGTGAGGGGTGGAATAAGTGTAAAGAGCTAGAAGTAGTTGCTCAAGTACTTTTTTAAAAAAAAAACATTCTCAATGAACAGTAACAATGTATGTGGAATACGTGTTCTTGTATTTTGGTCAGTATCTAAATAAAACAATATGTAAAATAAACAAGAATGGATTATGAATATGTACTCTTGTGCTAGTGAAGGAGAATATACAATTTAAAAGAAATTCTTATATATTAGAGGGAGCTTTGCTTCCATTTTTGGCCAGGTATGCTCCTTTCTATAGCCACATCAATATCAGCCCTTTTAAATGTTGCCTTTTTTTGTTGCTTCCTCTCTCTCGCTCGCTTACTCTGTCTCATTCTCTCTCACTTTACAGACAGGAACTGAAGGCGGGAAAAAGGCCACAGCTTGGTGGAAAAAAATTAGGGTTTGGAGGACGAGCAAAGAATCTGGCAACAAGGAAATTGAAAAGGAAAAGGAACAAGGAGAGGAAAAGGTGAGAGATTAATGGAGAGGATTGTGAGATGACTCTCTTGTTTCTACTCTTAGGTTGCTCATTTTATTTCCTTACAACCTCTTCTGAGTACTTAATTCTAAATTTGTCTCTAACTAACGAATGATGTCTGTACCGGATTGGATTTTGGGTAAATATGCAAAAAGGTTTGACGTGTATCCAATACACATGTTGTTTGGCTCTCACATTGAAGTTGTTACATCACAGATGGAACTTCCCTTCACAATCAGATTCCACCTCGGAGTAAAGGAGTCCAGCAAGCAGCTTGAGTTTGTTGGTGGAATTACGAGGGAAAATGAAGATGTCACCCCTGATTCAGTGACATATAAACGATTGATTGCTAACGTGAAAGGATTTGGCTTTTGTTCGAAGAGAATGTGGTACAAGACTCCTGGTGAATTCAACGATTTGCCCACAGAGATCAGAAGTGATGAGCAAGTGAAGGGAATGGTGCAACAAGCATCTAAAAGAGGATTGATTCATTTGTACGTTGAGGGAGGGGTTGACAGTGAGGGAGAATATAATGATCAGATTAGGGAAATGTTTGGAGAGGAATGGAGAATGAACACTGATGTGTATCCCCATGATGGTGGGGCTGAGCGTGACAATTCAGGTCCTGATGAAGGCTCGGACTCTGCATCTAATTTCCAGGCAGAGTCGCCCAATGCTGAATGTTTTGAGGCCACGGGAAATAGGAGGCAAATGAGGGATGGAAGGATTGGGCACTGTGGTGATGTTGATGGAGGTAAAACTGTGAGTATGGAATATCGGAAGAAGGATAAGGATGAGATTGGAATACCTGTCAACCAAAATGATGTTGTCTCATCGTGTTGCCAAAAGGGTGAAGGAGTTGAACATTATGAGAGATCCCGGAAAGCTACAATTGAAGTTGAGGATCAAAGAGACCTTTCTCATGTAAGTACTGAAGATTTGCACCATCTTAATTGTGTAGTCCTTAAACTTATGTTGAATTTTAACTTGGTCCAGGTGAAGAGGGATAGAACTGTGGAGACTGACCGGGTGCCTGCAAAAACAGGCAGAGGAAGTGGGACCAGATGCGCTTCAAACCGAGGAAAGGATCCTGCAGAAAGAGGCAGAGCAAGAGGTCAGGTGGGGTTGCAGCTTCTACTTCAGGAAAGGACAAAACATCAAATTGAGATCAAGAAGGGTCAGAGGTTCAACTCCAAGAAAGGGCACAGCTTTGATCAGGAAGGGGCACGACTTTGAGTTTTGGAAGGGGAATCCGTTCAAGTTCAAGATGGGGCACAACTATAATGGGCGTAATTTTGAGATGAAGGACGGACAAAGGTTTAAGCTCGGGCAAGGCTGAGCCTCAAACATCAAGCTATTTATAAGAACAATAAGGCAAACTTGAACAAGCACCGAAGCAAATGGAAGATCTAAGGTAATATAACATATTTAGTAGATGTGCACGTTCTTCAGTGTCCTACTGACCATTATTCTTGTGTGTGCTTATGTCACAGGCAACGCAAGGTTACGAACTCTACTTCTCGGAGAGACTTGAGACCAATATGTCCAAGTCTATTTTCCTTGAATGTACCCTACATTTTTCTTAAGGAGACTCAAAACCAACAAGTTGTTTTTGAACGCGGCTCATCTGTCTCCTCACATGAGCCAATCTGTTGTCTCAATTCTGTTAAAGGTGTTTCCGGTTCTTCATTTCTGGCCTCTTCCCTTGTTTTATTCCCATTCTGTCAAGTTGTTTACCTTATAACTGCAAGAATATCTTGTTCTATTACTGCATTCATTTTTTCTAAAATGGCAAGTTTACTCCATTCTTCTTTCTTGCCACTCACCTATTATGTGATGCTGTACTGTTCTCTCCTAATTTAAATTCAACCACAGGCGGATAATTGATCTTTCGGGTATTCCATATGCCATAATATAAGTTGTATATCTCCTTGTTTTACTCTATGATGAAACCAATCGAAGAATTGCAGATTACTTTCTGTTTGTTTCTTTATACATATCATTGTTCTTGAAGAACCTTTCTTTCGGTTGAAGTGTATATTTCTGCAAATTATTTCCTTTGCCTTTATTTTCTTCTGAAAGAAATCTTCTTTTGAGATTTTGTGATCTATTGTAAAGGAAGTGTTTATAAGTTTATTTGGTAATCTGAAAACATGACTGAGCTTGGCCATGGGGTTACCCTACATTTGCTAGGATGAATATTCATGGACTCTTTTCGGAGCAATATAGGATCAATCATATAAGGAGGATGTTACTTGGTCTTCCGTTTCACTAATTCAATTGCAAAATATTCTCTCATGCTCTGTTTCCGGGATAAGTGAGCATGATGACCTAGAAGGCACTTTATATGAAATCCCTGTAGGAATTTTTTCTTCATTTAATTCTCCAATGTTCAATATCATCAATCCACTCTTGTTAAGCTTAACTTCTATTGCTCCATGTTCATATTCAATAATCTTTTCAACTTCTTGATTTTATATAGGCCTTTGAACTTTTTCTGATTGGAAAATCCATTTTTTTTAAATTCTAATTTCATTCCATCTAATTGTTTTTAACAGTACTACGTTTGTAATCTCCGTATTTGCATATAGCATAGCAACTTACGTGTTCTTGACCAATTGTTGCTGAAATGACCTTGTAATATATTCTACGGGTAATGACATCCGCAAGTATATGAATTTTTGCTCTTTTTATAATGAAGTATTTTATTCAATCAAGTACCTTATCGTTTCAAATTTGGCTCAATATGAAGTCTCCGTTTAATTAAATTGCCATGTCATGTAATTTTACTTATGTGGCTTGCTTACTCTGTAAAGTTTAAGCATAATTCATGTTGCGGTTCCCTTATTTAACAAAAACTGTGTCATCTCCATTTAGGTGTTTGGTGATGAGGGAAGAGAGAGCGCAAAGTTGGAACTTTAGCCATTCCATTTCTCTCTGGTGGCGTGACATCATCTTAAGAAACAACTAAAAATCATCCAATATGGGACCATAAAACTTGCCTTCATCGATTTTGTATGTGATTGTCATACATTCTGTTAGGCCAAATTCGTTAATTTTTCTCCATAGCAGAAAAGACTTTCTGTCTGCGAATGGACTCAAGAATCGTATAGTGGCCACTGCTATCAAATTGATCTAGCTAGGCCCTTGTAAATGCAAATTTTTTATCTGTGAAACTGAAGAGATGTATTGGACGAATTGTCAATTCAGTGCTATGTATGTGATCGAAGTTCTTTTCTTATGAAATCTTTTATAGGTGCATAGGTTCAATCAGATGAGTCTTAAGCTGTTCTTTGTAGGATAGAAGATCCATGCATTTACAATGTCAAAGAGAACCGGTCTTAATGATCAGCATCTAGAGCATCTCATTGTGTAGGTTATGCGTCGTATTATTTCAAGTTTAATTTCAGACCTCCAAGACAATTGAACAATCAAGTTTGGGTTACCCTGCATCTGGTTTTTAACTTCTTTCCCAGAAATAAAAGTTATTTGTGTTCCACAATCTTTGCATCCAATAATTTCGTAGTCTCTGTGACGCTAGCAGTGGGGAACAAAAGAGTTCTTGTCTTGTATATTTTTATCATGTTGATCATTGGTTTGCAATCTCTGGTGGTGAGTTTCCTTGACACCAGAAGACAACTATGTATTTGATGTGAAGTTTTGCATTAGCAAAAGCAGTAACATCCTTATAGGTTTCTGTTTAAATCGTTAATCATATATGTATCTCTTTGTCCAAGTGATTAGCCTGAAAACCAGCAATTCTGGAGATACTTGAATCTGCGTAACCTTTTAAAATCTTATGTTGGGAAGTGCTCTTTCATTTTTTGAAGGTGAATGAGTTCTCACTTAATCGAGACAGCTACCAATCAGTTCCATGTCTAAGTAACAATATTGTCCGAATAAAGCTAATGTTTGATGTTATTGACAATGATTCCCAACTCATACCAAGACAGTAATAATGAAACCCTGGCAATTATCAGAGAGCATCATATTACGGTCCATAGTACCATGAGAAGGTCAAAAAACTGATCGGTTCGTTGAGATACAAAGGAGAAGACAATTATAAGTGCTTTATAGTATAAGATGGGACTAGTGCGTTTCAAATTACCTCAGTTTGCTTATCTGCGGCGGCTAGGTGCAATATAGTGTTGCCATCGTTGTTCTTCAAATTAACGAACTCATGATCTCCAACAGTCTCCACCAAAGGCTTCAAAGCTTGCAAATTATTATGCTTCACGCACAAATACAGTATAGTCTCGCTATGATCCATCTCATGACTTGCTGCATCAGGACTTTCTCGAACGAGTTCCTTTAGAATATTGACAAGGCCTTGTTAGTAATTAAATCAAATTCATTTCAAAGGAGGTTGCCGATTATGATAAGAGGTTATCGATTCAATGGACAAGTTGTTGATTTACAAGTTTGATGTCGATGTCTATTTGGCTCCCAAGACTGGTGCACGAATTGAGAAGAGTTTTTATTGTAGTATTGTTTTTCAAGAGTCTGTTCAAATTTCTATGTTTTGACTGTTCATGTTTTTATGTCTAGTTTATTACCTTGTTAGTAATTAAAAAGAAAAGGACAATGGAGAGGATGAAGAACGGGATCACAGAAAAGCAAACCTAGAAGTAATCAGAGTCGATGACCGTGGCGAACCCAGATCTCACGTGACCTCAAACAGCCTAGGCAATGCGACGCCAAGGGCCGTGTGACCTTGGTGACCTCACCCTAGGTTGCGTGATTGAAGTTGAGGTAGAGAAAAATCTCCCCTTTTGGAAACGTTTCAGGCCAAGAGTTTTGTTAAAGATTTGTATCGAGTTTGAGCCGGCAAAGGAAATTGATCTAAATAAGAAAGTTCATAATTTGAATAAGTTTTAACTTTGCATCTAAATCTTTTGTACATAATAAGTGGGTCTTCTTTGTGAAGAGTAGCCAAAAGGCTACTTTGTCATGAATTACACTATGAAACAATCCAAGAGCATTGAAGCCAATTAAATGGTGTAGAAACATTTGAGAATTCTTTTCTGAGATTGAGAAATCACTTCATGAGAAATTATGAGGGCTAAATATTATGTGAGTTATTGGATATAATTAGAGATTGGAAAACATTGAAAGTATTTAAGTGACTCAAATGTGATTGAAATCTTTGTTTTATCGCTTAATCTATAATGGATACTATGTTGTTCTCCCAAAGGCATATGTCCAATCGACTGAACTACGTAAACTTAGTGTCTAATTTTTTTTTTTATCTCGTTCTGTTTAATTTAAAGGTTCGATCACTTGTTTTTCGCAACAATTGGTATTAGGGATAGGTTTGGCTAAGTTAAAGTGAATCGATTACAACTAAAAAAAGAAAAAGGGAAAATCGACGGATTTGATGAGAAGGATTTTGGTTTCTAGAAGATGGAGATTGAAGATTGTCTTTATTAGATGAATCTGCACTTACAATTATTTGGGAAGAACCCAAAATTGATGAAAAAGCTTATTGGAATTTGCTGGATCAACAAGTGTTGAATGTTATTTAGCTGATGTTGGTTTGTAATGTCACATTTAATATCGTGAAAGAGAAGACTACTACGGGTTTGATGAAGGCCCTCACGCATATGTACGAGAAGTCATTTGCGATCAATAAAGTCTACTTAATGCAACATTTGTTTCCCTTAAAGATAGACGAAGGTGTGTCCATTGCTAAGCACATCAATGAACTCAATGTGGTTGATATTCAACTGAGTTTGATTAAGATTAATTTTGAAGACGCAATACATCTTTGATTATACTTTCGTCATTGCTTGATGATTGGAATATTACAATTACTGCCATTAGTAAGCTCTAAGGGTCAAGAAGCTTGACGTTTGATGAGGTTCACGTTTCGATTCTTAGTGAAGACATTTGTAAAAAAAAGAATCTAATGAACATGTGCTTGATGCTTTAGTAGTTGAAGGTAGAGAAAGAACTACTACTTATGTTAGTAGGAGTACTGTAAACATGAATAGATGAAGTCAGTTTAAGACTAGTGATGATGTCTGTGAAATTGTGGTAAGGTGGGACATCTCAGAAGGAATAGCCTTAAATTGAAGAACGATAAGGGTAAGAAAATTAGAGTTGAGTCTGCATATGATGTTGCAACTATAGCTGACTGTAATTCGGATAGTGCTAAATAAGTCATGTCTATCACTGTGGATTTGTAATTTGACATATGGGTTATGGATTTTAGTTGTTTGTTTCATGCTGGATCAAATTAGAACTGGTTTACTACTTATTAGTGCATAAATAATGGTAAAGTGTAGTTGGGGAATAACGCTAAATGCAATATTATGGGTGCTAGCGATGTTAGAATTAGAATGCATGACAATATCATGAGAAAATTGATTAGAGTGACACATACTTCAGAATTGAAGAAGAATCTAATTTCCTTGAAAGCGTTAGATTCAACTAGGTTTGTTATACTTTTTTTTTTGGCAAAGGGATTGGTTATACTTCGGAAGGTGGAATTCTGAAGGTCGTTCGAGGTGCCTTAGTGATAATGAGATGAATAAAATACAATGGCTTGTATGAGCTTCATGGTGAGACAGTGATGAATTTCGCCACAGGGATATCGCATGCGTCTATTAGAGAGTCTGAATTGTGGAATATTGTAACATCCCGAATTTCGACCCATTTCCGGGATCAATAAAGTGAATATTGTTTATCATTTCATTTTGAAAAGTCTCGCCCAGAATTGATCACTCTCAGGACACTAACCGAAAGGGAATGGCTAATTAGGAGACGGTACGTGGACCAGGGATCTGATCGTGAATGGGACACT